GAAGGTGGCTAGACCCTGGCGCTGGACCTGACCTCCTGGACATCGATCTGCATATTCAGAAGTCATTCCCAGCCGGTTGGCTGCCTCCGGCCTCCCCACTCCCTCTAAAGGACCTGAGCACAGCGGGAGGACACGCCGGCACTGCCTCTGCAGCATCCCGCAGCCCCCGGACGCCTGCCCTCGGGGTGCTGCGCTCCCCGTGCCCCTGGAGCCAAGGTGAGTGGGGCAGAGAGGTGCGAGTGGCTTGGGTCGGGGACTGCTTGCTGAAGACAGGTATGTGGCGGCTGGGGAGGACTCTGGGGGATATTTGCAGTGCTGGAGGGACAGCAGGCTGCTCCGTGCACAGCTCTCCCACCGAGGAGCACCTGGGGAGCCCATGTGAGGTGGGTCCCTGTCCCAACCCACTCAGGGGGTTAGGGTGAGGTTAACTTTTTAATTCTCTGCGTGGTAATCAGGAGTAACAACAATTACTTTAGAGGTTCAAACCAATCATAAATTTACTTAAAACTCAGAGGAACTACAAAACATAGAGGCTTGGCAAAAGTTCTAACAATGCTCAAAACTTAGCAGAACTATGAAAGGTAAGGGTTTAGCAAAACGTGTGAAGGTATTACCCTAATGTGCTGAAAATTAAGTTAGAGAGTGATAGAGAGGAAAAGAAAGAGAGAAAGAAAAGAGAGAGAGAAAAGATATCACCACCCTTGGATCCCGCGATGTTCTCTGCTTGTAGTTGTAGTCTTCAGGTGGTGGGTGCATGCGCTAAAAACTTGTTTTCCCTTTTTATAACCCGATGTGCCCACCCCATAGGTGGGGGTCTGTCATCACTGAGCAGGCACAGTATGTGCTCAGGAATGTTCAGAAATGTTCTAGAAATGAGTCGGTGGGTTGTGGGGGCCCTGGGGGTCTCACTGCCCCCCCCTTCAGGGCTGACCAAGTGAGTGGTGATCTTTCACAGGCACATGGCGCACAGGGCACAGATGGTCTTTGTTTACATGTTTCAGGAATAGAGGAGTGGTCTCACAAGACATTATCCTGCCTCCGCAGGCTCTGTTCTTGGTCAACACTCCCTTGTCATCAGTCCATCCCTGCCCATGTCAAGACGGGTGTTCGCAGCATTCACTTGTTATCAGGACCTTACACTCCCGTTTAGGAGAGGACATGCGTTCCTTCTCTTCTGAGCATCTTCATTTCGTTCCTCGGTCTTTTTCTTCAGGTAAGAGGAGCCTTGGCTGCTTTTTAGTATTTTGGAAGGTGGTACTGGTGAAGACTGGTAGTAAGAGTAGGAACCGAAGCACGCATCTGCAAAGTCAGTGGGGAAGGGGCTGCATCAGTGGGAACAGTTTGCTTGGGGCAGCACCTCCTGGTCCTGCGGTGCTGGGGAGGCTGTGGGGGGGGAGCCAAGGCCACCCACGGCGGGCTGCCATGGCCTGGGACCCCAGGCTCTGGTCCCACCCTCCAAATCTCCAACAGAAAGCTGGTCGTGCTGGAAGCCTTAGGCAAGTGGAGGGCTTCTTGACAGCTCTGAGTCGGTCTGCTTATGAGGGGTGTATTGCCCCAGGTTTCTGGGGCTGGAAAGCCTCAGCAGAGGGGGCGGGTTAGCTCCCTGACCTTGCTGTTGGACACAGAGGTGAGAAATTGTCACCAAGTGCCAAAAGAAGTGAGGCAGCAGGATTGCCTGTCTTTCCATGCCATGCAGAAAGGCCTCAGGGTGGATAAAATCTATGACTGCATTGCATTTGCTGCGTGGCTTTGTTGGAAGCAGCTTGCAGGCTAAGAGGCGGCCGCAGGCGGTGGTGAAGCTCCTTATACAAGGGTGGGGGTGATGCTGAGAGCTGCCAGCACCCCGGCCTCGTGCTGTACCATAGGTAATCGGAGCAGTTTGAATGCCCCCATGACAGACTGTTAGGAAATTGAAACCCTAATGTTTGGGAAGGGTGGGGAGACACCAGGGGAGAGCAACAAGTGGTGTCGGACAACCCAGAAAATACTTGGTTTGTCAAGACTAGAGCTCTGCAAAAGGTAGAGCTCTCCCAGATACCTGCCTGGAACAAAGTGCTGTTCGAAGAAAGGCAACCTGCTAAAAAACAGTGAGTAGAAAACGATCTTCTACACTGCTTATTAGCCCAGGGGACGCACTGTGGGGCAGACAGTCATGGGGACAAGAGACTGATGGCGCTGAAAATGATCACACATTTCTGAGTATAGCCAAAGAATCTCTGACACTTTAAAGGTGCCTGGAAGAGACATAAACCGTCCTACTTCAGGGATGCAAAGCTACTGCTAATTAATGTGGATGAGGAAGAAGTGTCCCAGAGGGACGGTTACTCTGTAATTGCCAGGATATGAGCTTTTGTGCCTTTTTTTGCAAAGCTGTCTAGCGAGCAAGCGGAGGGGGTGGATCCCTGCCTGGAGTCAGCATGACAATTTTAAGCCTGGGGCTGCTGGCTCAGTAGTTTCTCTCCTACCCGGTAATCCCCATCCCCATTCCCATTCCTTTTATTCTGTGTTTTAACAAGCACTTAGGAGCACTGTGCTGTGTTAGCCTGAACATCCCAGTGCATCCCGCTCACAGCAGGTCACATCACATTTTCACCCTTGCTGTGCCCCTTCCCACCAGCCTGTTTGTGCTGTCCCGGCCCCCCCCAGCACTGCCGCCCATCACTGTGCCTTCAGGGCTGTGGTGGTGGGTGCTGGGTGCTGGCAGAAGCACTCAGCAGCCATGCCCTGGCCTAGCTGCTACGTGCCGTGAATGCCTTCGCCAGGGATGTAGCTGCCGTCCCTGCTCCCCGCCAGTGCCTGGGAGCACCCAAAACCACCTTTGCCCAGGTGTGCGTGGCAGAGGGCTGCGTCTGGTGCTCACCACCCTTGTACCCGAGTCCACGAGCCCAGAGAGGAGTTTCCCCAGAGGCCTCTGGCACGGGCGCAGCTGGTGGTCTGGGAAGTCTGCACTGCCAGGCCCATCCAGGGCTCAAACCACGTGAAATGCACTCCAGACGCCATAAATGCCCGGCTGGTAGGTGGCAGCTGTGACTGCATCCAGGGCGTTGCTGCTGTCAAGCGACACCTGACAGCCTGCTCACAGGTTTGGCAGAACCTGGAGCAGGGAATGGTCTGGGAACAGGGATGCCCTGGGAATCTGGGACGAAAATCTCCCGCCATGTGCACGCGGAGCTGCTGTATGATGTCTTGCCTGCTGACATTTCTTGCTTTTTCTCCAGCTCCACACCTCTAGCAGGCTTAAACCTTGAACACATGGGAAACCTGCCAGTCCATCACTGGAAATGATCCCAAAGCAGCTGAGGTTCAGCTCTCCCGTGTCCAGGCAGGAAGAAGAGATTATGGATGGCAGCACTGCCTCTGAGCAGGACAGAGACCGTGCCACTCCAGGCCACAGCCAGGGGCTGAAAACAGAGCCTTGTTTCCAGACTAACTCTCTTTTGCCTTCCCCCAGCACATCCCTGATATCCCAGCTCCTCAGCCACCCCATGGTTGGCAGGAGCCTCGATCCTTGCATCCTTTTCCCTTCCTCCCAGGCAGTGGCCCTGCCTCAGGACTACGAGTGTGGTGCTCCTGCAGAAGGAGCACAAGCCCTGGCTTTCCCTAGGATCCGTGCCCCAGCTTCCGTGCCCTGTGCTGGTGACAGGGACCAGCTCTCCGACCAGCACCTACGAGCCAAGCGGGCCAGGGTGGAGAGCATCATCCAAGGCATGAGCCTCCCACCAATCCCCTCGGAATTTGGCACCAGCTTGGAGGCAGCTTTTGGGCACGAGAAGGAGAGGGGTGGCGAGATGCCCCGGGAGAGCAAGAGGAAGCCGAGGGTGCCCCAGCAGGGCACAGGGGTGGCTGGGCAAGTGGCCCCCACCGGAGGCAGCTCCCATGCTGAGGGCTGCCAGCAGCTGAAGGAGCAGCTCTGCCTTTTAGAGCAGCAGCTGAAGCGGCTTCAGGAGAAGTTTTCCCAGGTTTGCAACTCGGGGGACGCTGCCCAAATCCAGGAAGATGCTGAGAAAGTGCATCCACTGCCTGGGAAGCCTGGAGACAGACCGGACAAGGACAGTGCTGCTGCCACCAGTGACCCACGCAAAGTGCCTCTCTGGAGGAGCATGCCAGGGGTGCACAGGCAGGAGGAGGAGGAGGACATGGGTGGCGCAGGTGGCTTGCCCTCAGCTGCAAGGGTCCTTTCACAGGCACTGAAGCATGAGCTGGCCGGGGTGACGTCCCAGGTGGTAGACTCCGTCCTGAAGACTGTGTGGCCAAAGGCAGCCGGCCATCTCCTGCAGCAGCACCGCAGCCTCCCGGTGCCAGGGCCAGGTACCAGGACAGAGTATTTTGCTGCTGGGAAATGCAGAAAGCCACTTGCTGAGCCATCCCCCATGAATGTGATGGGCTCGCTGGGCTCACCCCAGGCTGAGGTCCTGTCAGGAGCTTCAGAGAAGAGCCCAGGCTCTTGTGCTGGCTCCTTCAGTTCAAAGGGGGTCAGAAAACCCTGTCAGGTACCCAGCATGGGTTATGCGCTGGGCTTGGCCACCCCCACCCAGGACAGCCAGCTGCTGAGCCAGCTGCTGGGCTGCAACCAGCACGGTCCCTGGGGCAGCAGCTCTCACGGGAGCCCCTCTGCTCCAGAGAAGGGTCCTCTGGAGCCCCTTGACTTGCACTGGGGAACTGTCAAACTGAGGTCATCAGTTGTGAGACAGCAGCAGCAGCATCCCCTGCCCTTGAGCCCTGCCAATGTGGAGACCCTGGCACTGCTGCCGGCTGGCAGGGATGGCCACGGGGAGCTGCCGGCTGCGATGGACGGAGCGCCCTTTGCCTCTACCCATATATCCTTTGGGGGCAGCTGGAGAGGTCCCTGGGCTCAGCTGGAGCTGGAGAGGGCCCTGGGCTTGGACGTGTTCCCCTTGTCCTCCAGAGCCACAGCTTGGCACAGCCCTTGCTGGTGTCCCCAGGGCCAGGGTCCTCCCTGCTCCACAGAGGGCTAAAAAGGGGTGGGGGGGGATGACAGGAAAGGGGTTCCGAGCTGCCGAGGGGCACTGCTGCTCCTCAGGGTTGGCTGGATGCTGTAGCTTAGGTGGGACTAGAAGTCAGGAGCTCCCAAGCCTGCTCTTAGGCCATCCTGGTGGTCCTGTCATCCTGTTCC